ATCGTTTTTCATGGAAGAGGAAGTAAAAGACTATACGGTCCTCTTGAAATGGCCTCCACTTTGATGAGTGCTGGAACAAGAAGTGTTTTGCCCTTTTCCAATCCTGAGGAAGTTCGTAACAGCAAACCTTCTACTCTTTGAGGCGCTGAGAAGGTACTTGCACCCTTGGAAAGACAGAAGCTCCCGGTTTTGGTGGCGGGGGGAAACATCTGATGTGACCTTAAGGCCCCTCACCTAATGCCTCAAATCCGAGGTCCCCATCGTGGGAAAAAATGAGGTGTACTGTACCTGTTTCCCGGTGCCAATGACCCCGGTAGAAAAGAAGTGGAACCCTTTTTGGTTGGTTGAGCCCATGTTTAGTGGTCTCAGAACCAAACGAAACCGATTTAAAGAATGGAATCTACAGAACTGATTAGTTACGTCTCTTGAAGACACTCCACCCCAAAAAGGGGCACGGGGTCATGGTTTCCTATGTGACGTTTGTCATGGCTCCATTCGTCGCATACAAGGGAGGGCAAGGCACAATGCATGCTACAAGCAAAACTGCGGCGACAACGCTGGAGCCCATGGCTTGGCGTTTGCAATACTTGGATCATATTTGAGGAAAAAAACATGGAGAACACCGAGCCGGCGACCGAGCCTGCGCCCCCGCCAGCGCCCGCCGCAGCCCGAGCCGCAGCTTACTTGCGAGCAGCAGCGCGTGCTGCGCAGAACCACTTTTAACTTCCCAGAAAGTTTAAAGTCCGAAACATCACTCAGAAAGCGAGCAATACTCGGTTGCTGGTGCCCCCTCCGCAAAAAGTTGATCACTTTTGTGGGTCCAATGGAACACACATGGAGAAACACACTGTTTCTCATAAAAGTTACCGTCCAAAGGTCCAACCAAATAGCCACAAAGAACCTACGGATCAGTCGCCTGCCCCCGCGCCAGCGCCGGCACCCAAGGCGCCGAATCCGGGACCTGTCGAGGCTCAGGGAAGCGACCGGAAAATCGCCACAGGGCCCCAAATGTTTGCTTTCTTTCGCAGGGAGCAACGTGGAACACTCACAATCATCTTGTGTTCTTATATTTTTTTTAACCATATACAGCAGCTCTTCGTCTCGGACTCTAAATGCCTGAGCATGCTCGTTGTTTCCCCTAACAGCTGAAAGCTATGGGGCCACCAAATAAGCTCCGGAGTGGTCAACTTGAGCCGGTGAGCACGTTCCGGAGCTTGCTGAGCGTGGGCTTGTTGAATTGGTACCCTTTGGGGGGTTTCAAAGGTGGAAAGAGATTTAGGGGTTCCCTATTGAGGGTGTTGTCCAAAGGGGACCCCTTGGAATCCCATTTTCTTAGCTGTCGGAACCCATGGTTCATCTGGGACTTTCGAAATCGAGGGAAACCAGCCCGATGCATGTTCGTGGAGAAACCTTTAGAAAACCCACCGTGTTGAGGGGTCCCCGATTTTTGGAAAGACCAAGATTGTGTTCCTAGACTGTCCATTCTAGTGGCAGCATTACTATCAGGTTTGATTCTGACAGGTAGCTCTCAGAAGCTCAATCCATTTCTTGATACACCGCCGATCTGCATGGGTGTCCACATGGTGGATGAGCCCCTCCTTGAGCCAAAATTGGCAGTTGGGAAACCCGCATTCACACACCCAGGTTTTCCTTTGAAAACGGTAGCCAATTCGTTTGAATCCTATTTGCCAAGTGCGATCAATAGCTCACAATGTTGACTGTTCCCTGGAGCGGGCCCACAAACACAGACTCAGGACCTGTTCGCCTTGTTGCCTTTTTGGGCTTGATTCCTTTTGCCTTTCAATCAGCAAGTTTGAGTAATTTTCTTCTTTAGCCGGTGGTTTTACCACTGGCTCTGTAACGAACCATGGCCTGCAACCAGCATAAAGTTTGACCTTTTGCAGGTACTCTAAGTCTGGTCAAGAAAAGTGGTTTGGTATGTTGATTGCTCCAGACTCGTATCACACATGGTCAGGGAAAACTTGCTGGCAGTTGCAGTTGGTGAATTCTTGTACTGAGAGCCTCTCTCCTCAATTCTACGGCTTGATTACACCGTTTCCCCCCATCACGCCTATGCGAAACACAGCATCCGCTCTGTTTCGGGCCTTTCCGGATTTTCCCAACAATTATGAAACATGGACGACGGGGGTGGGGCTTTTCAAGATGATGGTGGTCTGCCAAAGTCCTTTGCCCACTAATGACAAAGCTTGCTCGACGAAGCCAGGCATTGATCCAAGATATTTTGAAATATACCCTCAGGACACCCAGCTGTTCCCCCACAATATGTCCCCCAACCATATCTTTAGGACTTTGATCGTCCCTTCCTTGCGAGTCTGGTCCTTTGGGGGGGCATCGTTGTTCTACCACTGGTGCCAGTGTTTCCCTCGGAGTGTGATACAAACCGAGATCTTCTTGTGGCGCCCATTTGCCTAAGAATATGTTTTTTGCCCTTTTGGTTTCAAAGGGAATCTATCACTACTGGATGTTTTTTCCAGTGGGCTTAGGCTACTCGAAGATGACATATCCTTGGATGGACATTTTCTTGGGGGTTTGGACCCTTTTAGTGGTAAACAAAAAGTTCAGACTTGTTCAGGCCAAGCCACCCAGGAAGTGAGGGGGTTGAGGGGGTTGAGGCACGAGGGGGGGGTAGATTCTATGCTCCGTGGACCGGCCAGGAGCTCGCAGGAAGCCAAGGCCGCAAAGGAGTTCGGCAGAGCGCTCAGACTCGCATGCTGGATGTGACACCAGAATCTTGGCTCTCGGATGAGCTTGAAGCAGCTCACACTGAGATGTTTTGCGGACTACTTTGCTCAACGGGATTCTTGAAGTTCCCTTCTTTGGTAGAGAGGTGTGCTAAGCGTGTAATGCCTGTGGCCAATTGCGTGTGATGATTTGGGGCGAACTATTCAGACCTCCGAAATTTGACCCCACAATCTTTCACAGGGAAGTGCTCAAGTTGGTGGGCGGTAACACCTGGTTGGGAAGATCATTTTAATGATCTTCTGACCAATCCACTCAGGAAGTGAGTGGTTCTAGAGTTTTGCATCATATTTTCCCATGGTTACCTACTATACTTGGACGGTCAGGGGCTTCGCAACGTGGTTAGTAGCCGTTGTTCCCCACCAAAGCCATGGTGGTAAGTCCCTACAAGCCAGTTGGGCCAAGTCCCAACTATAACCCACCAAAGCCATGGTTGCAAGTCGCCGTGTGGGCTATTTAGACATGCCTCCCAACTAAGTAGGGGGTGGCTGGATCCCCCGACAGTCTCGTGTGCTCAGGCCCGGCCCCTGAGCCCGCAACTGAGAGCTGACAGCCGAAAGAAAGGCGCGGCGCTCGGGTGAAGCCACTCCCAAAGCACCTCATGTCTAGCCCAGTTTGGGGTGTGTCGAAGGCACACCCAGGGCGGAAACCACGATTTTGAGGAATCTGTCAGTTATCCAAAACCTGCCTTTCGACCCGACCTTGCGGTTTTGCCAATGCAGGTGAAAGGTCATAAGGTCAAGGTCCCAAAAGGTGATTGTCCTTTGGGCAAGTCGGGTTTGGGGGTCCCCACCTTACTGCAGCTTAGCAAGACTGACCAAGCCCTAGCACGACGATGCTCTTCATTGAAGTCAGCGGGAATCGGTTGTCCTGTAGCCGTTGCCAGAAACGCAAGACTGGAGAAGCAGCATGGCGTGGCCCCAAACAGGGGATGTATCGTTCACTTTGATCGCCTTGTTTTCCTTTGCTCCTTCTTGGAAAACCGTTTTTTCTTTCAGGGTTCTAAGTAGCCCAGCATTGACGATGTGTCCAACAGACGGGTATTGTTTGTTTGTTCCAGACCCCTTCTCAAACACCCCGGCATTTGACCAGCACACTGTCCCTTGCGATTCTTGGCAGTGGCCCGACGCTCGCTTAGGCCGGAGGAGCTCTGAGCGTTTCACCCACGAATACACACTAAAGGCGAAGGATAAGTTGATTTGTCCTTTGTATTGGGTAGTCAGCAGAAGATAAGGGTAAGGAGACTTCCGTCTGAACCATAAATTGGTGCAGCTGTCCGCCGTTTTGATTGTTTACATGGAGTCGCGTAATGTTGACCCCGCATTGACTAATCTAGTACATGATACCAGATTGATTCCGCCCCCGAGGCCTCCCTGTAAACCGAATAACCTGCTAGGCCTTACATAAGCCAAGGTTCCAATTTACATCCCTTTCAAAACAGGTTTTCATCGTGGCCAAACGGCATGTTTGGGCTACATCTCTGTGACTTGTGGTTGGTGGCATTGATTGGGCACGGCCTGTTGTTCTTTGCCTAGGCACGCTTTTGAGGATAGAAAGTTCTACGTAGCATGTTTCAAAGGAAACCAAGAGACACCGATGAAACACCGCTCATGTTTTGGTGTGTGTGTGTGGGCTAGAAGTGGTTGAATGAGTTGCCCAGGTGGTTGTGATAACACCGACCTTCGAGCAGCGTGTGTTGCTTCGCACCAAGGACGCCAAAGCAACACACACTTGTCCAAATCGGACCTTTTAACCTTTCAGTGTGCTGTGTTTATCTTTGTTTCTGGGCTGAGCTGTTGTAATAATTGAATTGGCCAACACTCCAGTGTGAAGCAGTTGGCCGCGCGCAACAATCTATTGGCATGACACTCGCGCATCCGAGTCCAAAGCCAAGAGTCTACTCGGATCGGGGAGACAAAATTAAACCCTACCCCTGCGGGTGGAGGTTCCAAGAATCTTTTTTGGGTGGACCGCCACCAAAACCAACCCTCAATACCGGAAAAGCGTCACCGAGAGCAGGTTAGCCCTTCTTGCCCATAAGCCGCTTGATTGCCCCTTCGGCCCAATCAAGCATTGCAGTTTCGTGGTGTAGTGTTTGTCGGGAAAACTAACCGAGAAACCATCGGCTTTCTTCGTTTCAATTGAAACCAGAGGAAAACGCAAGGAAACACGTATTGTAAAGGGGTCCATTTACACTGATGTTGGGGCCCCATTTCTTGTCATTAGCCCCTTCCTTTGCATGCCATGGGCGCATGGCTCTTTCTGGCCGCGGCCGCGGCTTGGAGCGCGGCGTCGCAGGATACCACGGCGCCGGTGTGGCGCGGCGGATCTTTTGAAGAGTGCGGGGGATGGGGAGGCGCGGTCACTATGGTGGGAACCCTAATTCCGCTGACTCACGAGCTGGCACGCTGAAGGCTACAAATCGAGGATGTCCAGCCCTTCATCTTCCACGTGCTCGTCACAGTGCTGTCCTGAGACTTTGGCTTCCAAAAATAAAGCCAAAGGAGCCTTGCCCGTCTTTGCGGGAAGTTTCGGAATCCCCCTTGATCCTCTAAAATGAAGCCACATGTACAAGAGATGGCTTATTGTAAACGCTTCGCGTTGCCCGCCTCGGCCAGTCCGCTTTTGGCTGGGTATATACTGTGCTTCAGTTTGTTTTGAAGTGATGGTATTAAAGTGAGTGAGTCGGCGCCGAAATGCGTGAGCTGGTTTCCAACCTAGCGGGTGGGCGCATGTCCGCACGATTCCACCTGGCTTCAAGGGCCAGACCGAGAGCCGCAGAGAGCTACAGAATGGTGGGCCAAGCGCAGGTCCAAATTTCTAGGGCATTGGACGGCTTTTGGGGGGGGGATTTTGACGGTTTCTAGGGGGATTTGACAGGCTTCTAGAAGCGAGTTCGGTTTCTACGGATTTTAGGCGGTTAATTGGCATTTGACCAGTTTTAACGGGAATTTGTCCGTTTTGTAGGGGGATTTGACCGGAGTGGTGGCGGGGAGGAAGTTGACCGGTTTCCAGCAAGATTTGGCCGGAGCTAGATGGGAAGTTGGCCGGCTTCCATCGGCTTCTAGAAGGGGATTTGACCAGCTTCTACTCCTTTGACAATCTAACTTGGATCTGTACCAATTACACAGCTCGCCATCAGGACGGGGCATTTGTTTGTCAAGCGAGCAAGCTGTTCATGTTGAAGGCAAGAACAAACGAAGAGGCCCACCACGCTACTTACTTCCTGAGTAGATTGGCCAAGCATTTTAAGTTTTGTGTTTACCACTAAAAGGTATTCCCAAAAAGTGACTAGAGTGCAGGAACTTGGGGATTGAGACAATAAAGGAGCAAGCATCAGCCATAGGAGCTACAAGTTGAGGCTGCACTCAAAGACGTCTACTACAAGCCAACCTTCGCTCGGCAGCCCTATAGCTTTAGACAAGTTGATCTCCTGTGGCAGGGTTGAATCAAAAACTATGGACCCTGTTTGGGACCGTGACATTGAGTGCTGCTTCTAGTTGGTCTCGTTTTTGAACTGCTTGGCTCTTTAGTCACAACAGGTGCGGCCTAAACTCACTTCGTCAGTGGTGTTTGTGCTGCAAAGTACACTTCTTGACCGGATGGGGCATCCCAAAGGCTTAATGCAAAGAAAGGGAAAAAGAGCCTTCTGAGATTCCGTGCGTAGCCCATGTCTTGACCACAGGGTGATTCGGAGAATCGGTGTCAAATGGAGGCTGCGTGGCAGAACAACAACCCGGATTGGTTGGTTTGGTCAACACATTGAAGGTTTTTTTCTTCAGCGCCCAACCCTCCTGTGACCCCTTTCCTTTTTGGCCCCTTGTTTGGTTTTCCCTCTTTCCCTTTCATTTTGGGTTTCCACTTCCTTGTTCACCTTTGGTTTATTTCCCCTTTTTGCTTTCTCCATGTTGCGGGTTCCCCTTTGCTTTGGCTTACCCACTTCCCCAGTCAGCGGTTTGGACACTTTGCTGGAAGATCATTTTGATCAACAAAAGTGAAGGGGCCGGCTTTTCCTGACCAATCCACTCAGGAACTGAGTCGTGCCATTGTCAACAAGACCCTTTTAGTGAGGGCTGGTAGCGACGGTCAATGACTATGGCCCACATCAGCAGTTCTGACAATGGTACGGACTACCTGCATTGCTTGCTGCAGAACTTCCAGTTGGGTTGTTCATGTGTTTTGTCTAAGTTCCTTATAGGAAAGCAGTTTTTGTTTGTCGGCCTCATCCATTTGGTCGACCAGCATTGGGTTGCGTGACTTCCGCTGTAGAACTTACCATCGTGCATGGCGAGTAGGGCCTGTCGTGCCTCGGGAACGTGGCTCAACGTTTGAGACCATCTTACAGTTGTGCATTTGGCTAACACGATGAGCAAAGAGAAACACATACCAGCCCCCGCATCCACTGCTTCTTGGACTCGGAATTTCGGGCATGGTTGAACAAGCAGGTGTTGGGGGAGGGGGGGGCGTGCTGGTACCTCCCTGGAATCTATCGCTGAAGGCAGGGGTTGCCGTGGGAGTCGTCTTGTCAGAGGTGCGGCTCAACGAGGCGGGGTCCGTGTACTGCGGAGCGGTGAAGACGTTGAGCAGCTACACGCCCTCGATTTCGCAGAGCCGCGACTGAAGGGGGAGGGCGTGGGGGTGGAGCGGGGGGGAGCAAGGAAGGGAGCAAAGGGGGGGTGAGGAGGGAAGGACTGGAGAGGAAGTGGAAAGAGGGAAAGTGCGAAAGTCCTCGACTGAACTATGGTCTTCTCCGCTGTAGTCTGAATATATATATATATATATATATATTTATTTTTGTGTACCACAGATACTTGCTGGGGTCCTATTGAGTTTCGGATTTCCTGTTGATTTTGCAGGAAGTTCCCGGAATCAAATTGGGGCGTTTTGCCGCCTTTGAGCCAAATCAGGTGTATTGCCTCGAAGGGGTTCTTTGGTCTTCATCCAAATCCGTGGCCTCCTCTGCCGCTCCTTTTGATTTGCTGGAAGTTCAGGGCAACCCAGGGCTACTGCCACACAACCGAGTTGACCTTGCTGATCTTTTGATTTTCCTTCTTGATGGCCATTTCTACTGGTTCCAAAAGGCGATCACCTTTTGTGTCTGAGTCCAAACGGCGCAACTGAGTTCAAGGCGTTTTCTTTCGAGGACACACCCTTTCTGATGGCCCCTTTGATTTGCTGGAAATGGGATCCCAGGACTACTCAAGCACCCATGCGCTACAGGAAACCACAAGGCGCCCCCCAGTTTGGAATTTCGGGGCTTGAGCACAGGTTGCTTAACAAACCCTACTCCGATGTCCGAGTTCCCACCTGTTTTTCAGTTGCTTCGAACTGCCCTAGAGGCTAGAGGCAGATTGCTGGGTTTGGGTCTTCATACAACAGGGTGTAGCCCAACTCATCAGACGGCACCAAACCCTTCAGGTCGCTTGAACACGTGCCCTCGGATGTTTTCCGGGGCTGCAAACAGTCTCACCCAAATCATTGCCACTGGAAAGCGCACGGACACCCACACCCACACCCACACCCACACCCACGCGCACACACACACACCACACACACACACACACACACACACACACACACACACACACACACACACACACACACACACACACACACACACACACACACACACACACACACACACACACACACACACTGCACACACACACACACACTGCACACACACACACCCACCATTTACTGCCCATTTTGCACACACACGACACGACACGACACGACACGACACACGACACGACACGACACGACACGACACGACACACGACACACGACACGACACGACACACGACACGACACGACACGACACACGACACGACACACGACACGACACGACACGACACGACACGACACGACACGACGACACCACGACACACCACGCCACGCCACGCCACACGCCACGCCATACGCCACACGCCACACCGCCACCATACACCACCACACGCCACACGCCACACGCCACACGCCACACGCCACACGCTACACGCTACACGCTACACGCTACACGCTACACGCTACACGCTACACGCTACACGCTACACGCTACACGCTACACGCTACACGCTACACGCTACACGCTACACGCTACACGCTACACGCTACACGCTACACGCTACACGCTACACACACACACACACATGCGCACACCCGTGCACGCGCACACACGCACACGCACATACACAGCAATTCAATGCGCACACACACACATCCCCAAACCAGCAATTCAATCCACCAAGTAAGGGCAACCCGACAACATGTTGTGTGCCCCAGTGCAGATATCCTCTTACTATGCCAAACTGCTCGGAAACAGGCGATCAAACGCACCCGGGCTTTTTTTTCAGATCTTAGGGATAGTGTTGAAATGTATAGCCCAATACGCATGGAGCCAAGCATGTTCAAGTTCAGCTGTGCAGGATGACGACTCGATTGTATTTTGGCTCAAGAAAATAAGGCGCTCCGAAGCGGCCAAGTAGATTTTCATGGTAGCGGGGAGCAGTAAAGGTTCAGAGGGACCTAATCGCTCAATTTGGTACTTCGCCAGCAGAGGGCGAGGATCAGTACCGCCTTGGAGGCGGGGAGGCTGCGGACGCGGCAGGAGCCCGGCGGCGGTAGAGCCGCCAGGCGAGGAGGGCGCTTCGGTCGTGCCAGAGACCAAGGAGCCGCGCGGAGAGGAGCTGAAGAGGAGCCAGAAGAATTGGCTTCAGGACCTGACTGGTCCCCCAACAAGGAGAACGTTGCCCAGCAGGTAGCTGAGACAGAGAGGATCTCAGCTAAGCTGCTGGAAGAGCCAGAGGAGCCGCCAAAGAAGAGAAAGAAGAGAGGAGAGGATAAGCCCCCAGAGCCGAAGAAGCCGCCGCGGGCAACTGGCGATCTCCTTTGATCGCCCTGGCAGCCCCGTCCTCATCGCATCCAGAGGCTGCCAGTAGCACAGCACCAGCACCAGCAGCAGCAGAAGCAGCAGCTGAGGAGAAGCCCGAGGAAGCAGGCAAGGGAAAGGGCACAGGCAAGAAGGGCAAGAAGAAGAAGAGCAAGGCGCCCTGGCCCCGCTTGCAGGAGAACTCAGCCGGTAAGTGGAAGGACGGACGCCGGTCCAAGAAGGCGAGGTCCTACCGGTTCCTGCGGGGCTTGATCAAGTTGAACTTGAAGCGCAACAACCCGATCCCGCCTGCAGTCCAGGAGGCCCTCGATAAGTTCGAGGAAGAGTACGGCTACGAGGTGCCCATCCCCAAAGGCTTTGGCAGGAACGTGCAGCCAAAGACTCCAGGTGGTCCAAGGCAAAGGCCAAAGCGGGAGTTGACCCGCCGTAAGAGAAGGCCGACCAGTGGAAGCACCTCGGAGGAGGAGGAGGAGGAGCCCACTGCCAAAGCAGCCGCAGCAGCTGAGGAAGCAGCAGCACCACGCACTGGGCCAATTGCATTGCTGCCGGAGGTGGCAGCCGCGGCGAAGTCTGCAGGCCGCGTGATAAGTGTGGCGCTAGCCACGCAAGAGGCAGCACTGCGCAGAGTGCGTGCAGGCAAAGCCACCCCGGAGTCTGCGCTGGCCAGCAACTACCGCCTGAGGAACGCGGCAATCGCTCAGGAAATCGCCGAGCGTAAATCACCGGCTCAGGGCACAGCCGGAGCTGCCGTAGAGGCAGCGATCAGGGCCCAGGTGTTGGCCCGTGACAGCCTAGCAAAGGCTTGCAGCTCGTGCGACGAGAGGCACCGCGCCCAATACCCGTTGGAGCGTGCGGCGCGCATCGCGAGCCAAGGCAAGGGCGCGAAGGGCGCGACGCCTATCGCACCTGCTGCTGTCACCACTGCATCAAAGGCCCTTGCAGTGAACCCCAAGCCCGCGGCGAAGAAGCCGCCACCTGTGCCCAAGGCAGCATCCAGCAAGCCTGCAGCAAAGGTCAAGTTGCAGCCCAAGCCCAAGCTGAAGCCCAACCTGCAGCCCAAGGAGCAGCCCGAGGAAAAGCCGGGTGAGGAAGTGGCCAAAAGCAGCAAAGGCCCACCGGTGTTCCTCAAGCCCAAGCAGAAGCCACCGGGAGCTCCGCAGCAGAAGTGGTCCGGAATCCGCTTTCCGACTGAGCAGGAGTCCACGGACTCGGAAACCTACACTTCGGGTTCCGAGGTCCTGGTGGAAGAACCCGCCGAGGATAGCGAGGCAGACGTATAGTCTGCCGAAGGCTGATGGCAGAATTAGCTGCCATACAAGCGCAACTGCAGCAGATCCTTGAGGAAAATAGAGTGTTGCGCGAGCAGCAACAGAGGCAGCAGGAACAAACTGCCTTGTTGACCCGGCTGGCCGAAAGCATGACAGAATTGGCCAGAAATACAAAGAGGGAAGAACCCAGGAAACTGTTGGTTGACACAAAAAGGATTGGTAAGCCGGAACGATTCAACAATGAAGAGCATACGTTCCGGAAGTGGGTGCGTTCAGTCACAAACCTTGTTGTCAGCATCTTTGGGAAGGAGTTCGGGAAAGTGTTGGATTGGTGCCTCGATCAGGATGGGTCCGACGACATCACTGTGGACGAAGTCGAGGCCGCGCATGGGGAGCCGGACGGGGTGTCCGGTTTACCAGACATAGGGGACCAATTGTTTCGTTTGCTTTTTTCTTAATTCTTAACCCATGGAGAGACTGAGGACTTGGTGATAGGCTGTTCTAATGGGTTCGAAGCGTGGAGAAGAATCCACCGCCGGTGGGATCCCTTAACCGCCGGACGGAAGAGAAACATACTCCGGGCGATATTGAACCCAGAACGCGTGAAACGGTGGGAAAATGTGAGGGCTGCGATAGAGCAACTCGAAGACCTTTTCAGGCGATATGAAAATCGCAAGAATGAAGCTGGTGAGCGAGAACGCCTGTCAGAAGACATAAAGGCGACCAGCTTGGAGTTGCTTGTACCCTCAGACATTGAACGCCACCTTTTGTTGAACAAAGGACGCCTCACAACCTACGCACAGATGAAATCAGAAATTGACCTAGTGATTGAATCCTCTTTGGGAAGTAAGGCACCGATTTCACGCCCTGGCGCAGCATCCTCATCGGACAGTGGTCCGGCGCCTATGGACGTGGACAGCCTCACAAAGGTCATCAACAGCTTGGTCAAAGGCAAGGGGTCCGGTGGAAAGGGCAAAAGTAAGGGCAAAGGTAAAGACAAGGGCAGTGGCGGAAAAGGTTCAGCTTCCAAGGACATAGTTTGTTTTAACTGTGGTAAAGCCGGGCATAAAGCTGCGGAGTGCTGGAGTGAAAAGAAGGAGGGCTCAAACAAAGGCTCAAGCAAAGGCTCAAAAGGAGGCGGAAAGAAAGGCAAGAGCAAGGGTAAGCACAAAGGAGCGAACTCACTAGAAGAGGACACAGGTGAGGGAGCCCATGAAGAAGAACAACCCGAAGGAGAGCTCGATGTGGGTATGTTTGGATTGGGTGCACTTACAGCTGGAGAGGATCTCCAGGCTATGGAATGGGTCCGCTTCAACTTGGACACCGGTGCAGCCCAGACAGCAATTTCATCAGACTAGGCAGACACAGTGCCGGTCAAGGAAGGGACTGAGGTTATGTTCAAGACGGCCTCAGGTGAGCTGGTCCGTGGGACCGGTACGGGTGTGTTC